AAAAAAAAAAAAAAAAAAAAATACAGTCACCGTTCTTTTTTTACGCTGAATTTTCAACTATTTCTCAGAAAAATGCATTTTAACTTCTAAAAATTTTTAGTAATATTCTTCCAACTTTAAAAAATACTTAAGAAAATATTCCTATCAAAAATATAAATTCTTTTGTATAAGATCGTTAATTAATTTTAAAAAAAAACTTTTTTTAATTATCTTTAATAAGTATAGAAGAACACGTAACTACCATCTTCTATTTCCATTTACCGTATAATAACAAAAGTTAATTAGAGGTCTCGTTTGATACTTATTTATGATAATAACAAACAAAAAAGCAAAAAATCAAAATACGTTTCTAATTTAATCATTTGTTGTTATTTATGATAATAACAAACAAAAAAGCAAAAAATCAAAATACGTTTCTAATTTAATCATTTGTTGAATTTGAATTGTTAGGTTCCTCCTTTGGGTTTGATCATTTGTTATATATAAACAGAATAGATTTGTGTTGAATTAATAGAAATGAGAGCTGAAAATCAAGGTTCATATTTATGAGAGATCTATAAGAACAGAGTAAGAACGTGAGTCCCCAGCAGCTGGAGTTCTTGTGTGCAGAAGAACCATTCAAGTGTGTAGTCCTAAAAATTACTTTATAATAACAACAGTGAAACTCAAATGCAAGAAGAACCATTCAAGTGTGTAGTCCTAAAAATTACTTTATAATAACAACAGTGAAACTCAAATGCAACAACATTCCTCCACTGTAGAAAAGATAATTGGATTTACTTAAATTCATTGAGCAACAAGCGGAGCGAGCAGTCGGTACAAAAAAAGAAAACTACGAATTTTTCAGTATCCTTCCTGTCCCAACTACTATACAAAGGTATAACGTTTTACCAGGTTGAGAGACGAACCAGAAGCGTTTTGGGCAAGTCGAACCGAAAACCTCTTGATGTGAGACCTTCACTTGTCTGCGTTGATCCCGAAGATGCGTACCTTGTGCATATGAGGAAACTTGGCAATAACTAGTACGATTACTGCTAGGGTGTTAAGAAATAACATTGGATGGCATATGAGGAAACTTGGCAATAACTAGTACGATTACTGCTAGGGTGTTAAGAAATAACATTGGATGTTGATAGTCAGTTGTGTGTGAGGCTATCAAGTACCTGTACAATAAGAAGAAGAAGTTAATGAAGTTTTCTTTTTTCAGTTGTGTGTGAGGCTATCAAGTACCTGTACAATAAGAAGAAGAAGTTAATGAAGTTTTCTTTTTTGTTGATTTCAAATCACAAGGGAAGGTCGGTTAATAGAGTAGAGTCAAAGGTTCCGGATTTCATACATTTCCATTTCCTCTCCTGTAAAGTGAAGTGGCTCTTTTAACTAAGTTGTTACAAGAATATGTAATAGTTAACTCTTAGTTGTCCTCACTCTTACCTATGTAATTTGTTCTTACCTATGTAATTTGTTTGCCGGGAAAGGAGCGAAGGCAACAATAAGAAGTTCAATAGAGCAAGAACCTTTGGAAAATCTCAATCTCTAAAAGGTGCAAACTTGTTATAGGGTCGCTGAGTTCGGGTGGTATTAACATGGAGGACCCTATGCCTTCCCTTAGTCTAGTTGACATGGTCTTTGTACGAATGACGTCAAAGACCCTGATGATCTTAGTCTAGTTGGTCTTTGTACGAATGGCCTCGAAGACCCCGATGATCTCTCTCTCCTATGAGTGAATCAATGGACATATCTATCCGCTGTACAGGCAATTGGTTTTGTAAAGAGGTAAAGGAGTTATTGGATATAGTCTTAACATACCACTCTTCAAGAATGCAAAAGTTTTGATATGGACAAACCTCGTTATAGCTTTCTTTTGAAATCTATGAGAAAGAGAGACATCAAAGAGTACTCACAGACTCATCCTAGACTCATCCTAGGTACAATGTTACCAGTAAATTATCTAATATTTTTGCTTCCTATAGCCATACCTCTCTCATGGTAAATTCGGAAGGTCGTTTGTAAGCATCATAGATCATAGACTTATAAAAAAAGAACATATATGCATACGGCTTTAGCAA